CTCCTTCCTTCCCCCTTCCGGGTATTTATCCTTTAGTACAAACTCTTTCAAGTGTCCTGCTCGTATTAGTCTTTCCACCTCGTCTCTCAGCTCCTTACAATCATCAGTCGTGTGGTCGTACTCTCTATGATAACTACAAAAGAACTCTGGTCGTCCTATGGGTGCTCTATTTTTCCTTGGTAGGGGCCGAGGTCGGTCTAACATCCCCAAGTTACCTCTTTCCTCTAATATCGCGAACACTTGCCCCTTGGTGTAGTCATGGGTGTGTAACGGTCGAACTGCTGGCCCGGCTCCCACCCTCTCTCGTCTACCCACTTGTTCTCTTGCCCCCCCNNCTTTCTTATCATCAGGTCGAGGCGGTCGTGACTCTTGCTTTTTATCCCTCTTACTGTCTTGTATGAGGAAGTCTGCTTGAGCTTCTTCCATGTTCATATACTTGCTTCCCCTCTGCAACAATTCGTCATAACTCTCAGCCGGTCTTTTGGATAAGGAATCTTGAAATGGTCCGGGTCTCAGCCCCCGGGTTAATCCGCCGGCCTTTATCTCCTCTGTAGCGCTTGGTACTTCGACACATGCGCGGGTGTAACGGGCTATGTAAGCTCGCAGTGTCTCTTCCTCTCTTTGTTGTACGTTTATCAGGGATAAGTATGTATTTTCATGTTTTCTCGCGCTTGCGAACTGGTTGGTGAACAACGAACTGATGCTTAGAAAATCTTTAATAATGCCTGGTGGAACCAATCTTGAACCACACCCTTTAGCGTGGTCAGGAAGGCTCTACAATAGACCGGATTGCTGTACCTGTGCAGCACCGCTATGTTCTCGAAGCTCCTGAGATGTCGAGCTGGGAATGTAGAGCCATCATACGACATGGTGAGTTCTCGAAACCCTTGAGGCAATTCCTCACCCAACACTTCGTCCGCGAACGGGTGACCTGCACGACAGGGGCCTCGACGCCCCTCAACCTTCTCTTGGATTTTGCGCAACTGCTCCGCCATCCGCTCGATGATCGAATCCCTTGTATGTTGTTGTGGAACACCTGACGAGTGGACCGATTGCTCTGGCTCATGCTCACCCCAACCCACGGTTGGTCTTACAGGTCGATCTACCTCATCGTGCCCCAACACTTCGGGTCGAGTCACCATTTCGCGCGCCAGGGTAGAGGGTCGAGCCTCTAAACCCTGTGCTTCTGGTCTCGTCGTCATCGCCCTTCCCGCAGGTGAAATTGACGCTAGTCTAGCCTCCACCGTCGCCGCTATCATTCTTTTCAACGCGATGAGCGTGACTTGTATGGGTTGCTTTGGGATGAAAAGCTGAGTATTCACGCCGGCTTCCTCCGCCGCCCCTCCTTGGAGTTGCAATTCCTCTCCGCCTACCTCTTGGAGTGGTAAGCTCGCACTTGGTCTCGTCGGCGTTTGTATCGTGCCCACTTGTGTTGGGCTATTCGCCGTTGTCTCCAACTGCTCCGGCGGCCGCCTAGCAGCAGGGGATGGCGTCGCCGGCGTGTCTCCACACAATACCCACCCCGGCGGCGGCCCAACCCCTACAGGGCGCTTATGCAACCAAGAGTTGTCTTCTTCATGTTGTTCATGCTCTCTTTCTCCCACCATCTTCTTCAATCCTTGCTTCTCCACTTGCTTTTCGGTTATGATGTAAGAGATACCACCAGATCAACGTCGGTTGAGCTAGGGTCCCCACAGACGGCGCCAATTTGATACGGTCCGAGATCGGTGGCTTTGGTCTTGCGGAATGTTCTTCCCGGTTATGACGTTGGTTCACTTGATTCGGTCTGATCCGAACTTGAGTGTTCTCCGGTACCTGAAAGCGCGCCGGAATTTCTCCGACGCCCAAGTTAGGATCTCGAATTTTGAGAGAATTATGTGTAATAAATGGGGTAGTAAAATATTAATAAAGTCTTACTTACCATTATTGAGATTTTACCTTTATATAGTTCTCACTTCCAGTTTAAGTGCTCTAGAATGTTCGTTGACCGGTATGGGTCAACCTCGTCGACCCGCTTCACTTGCCCCGCGTATGTTAACTATCGGGCCCGTGGGTAGATGCTCCACACGATCGGGCCGCTTTGCCTTGGCCGAGTATATCGAGTCTTAGGTCAATGGGCAGAAACCCTTGCATGCCTCGACCCCCTTACCCATGGTCGATGCTCGACCCTTCATCGACCCGGCCGCTAAGGGTCTTAGCTCAATCACCTTGCCTTGGTCGAGCCCATTGAGCCTAGAGTTAATGGGTCGAAGCTCCCACAAGGCTCGACCCTTCACACCCGTCGACAGTTGGGTCGTTTGATCTGGTTCCTAGGGGTTTTTGTTAGACCGAGCCGAGCCAATACTATGATACCTATCATCTATCATTTTGGAAAAAAAAATTAAAAAAAAAAAAAAAAAACTTTTAATGGATTTGGAAACAAATGAAACCGGGTTACCAGCGGCTTCCGATCCACTCCACACGTTCGAGCCGGTTTTACCATCACTAGCGGGGCCCAAACCTTCTAGAAGCAAATAAAAGAAACCAATGTGCCATGTCAGCCCGCAGTAAATTACGCACCCCACATATACGCACACACAGTTTCTTCGTTTTTTTTTGGCGCAGAAAATAGCTGTCCCCAGTCCCCGGTGGGCCCCACCCACTATTTTCCGGGAAACAACTAATAATCCGACCTCAGTTTCTCCCACATATAAAACCCCCCAACCGCATACACATTTTTCCCACATCTCTACTAAATAATTCCTTTCGCCATTTTTACCCATCCAATGCTCGGAACTCTAACCTTCCCTTCTCATTCCGCTTGCGTCTCCCATCGCCGCCCGCGCAGGATGATGCTCCCGCGCGCCTCCATCGCGGAGGCTTCGCCGCCGTCCGCCGCATCGGACAGCCGGAGGAGTCTCTACGAGGTCCTCCGCGTCCAGCGCGACGCGTCGCAGACGGAGATCAAGACGGCGTACCGCACGCTGGCCAAGTTGTACCACCCGGACGCGACGTCGCGGTTCCTGGACTCGGCGGTGGCGGCGGACGGCCGGGATTTTATCGAGATCCGCAACGCGTACGCCACGCTGTCCGATCCGGACGCTAGATCTGTCTACGATTTGAACTTAAGAGTTGGCTCGCAGCGCCGGCGGGATACCGGCGGATTTTACCCGACCCGTAGGTGGGAAACAGATCAATGCTGGTGACTTTTTTTTTTCTTCGATTTTTTTTTTTACGCGGTGGTTATTAACTATAGGTTGCTCATGAGGAGGATAGTTGTATAAATCTGTAGTTCTTATTTTCTTTGCCCTTTTGAATTGAAAATTGGTGTTATGTTATCTTCATTTTTCCTTAATTGGTTGTTATTCGGCCATTATTTCACGACACCCGTCTGGAAAAAGCAGAAAGAAAAGGAAAAAAAAAAAAAAAAAGGAAAGGTTACAGCAGAATATTGGCAGCAAGTAGGGCGGAGCCACCCATGTCCCCAAAAAAATTTTTAAAAAAATTTGCGAACTTTATTTTTTAAAATTTTTTGTACATAACTTCATATAAATTTTTATTTAGCCACATCTAATTTCAGGCGAAATATATTAAGATTTATGTCAAATTTGTTCATCTGACAACAACTGTGATAAAGTTACGGGAAAATGTTACGGTCTCGTTACGGAACTATTCCGTCAGGGTTTGTAACCGTCAGATCAATAATCCTCGACAGTTATATGATGATCTAACGGTTATAAACTCCGACAGAGTAGTTCCGTGACGGGACCGTAGCATTTCTCAAAGTTACGATCACGAGAGGAAAAAAATAATATTTTATTGTCAAATGCGACAATTGTTCATTTATTAGATTTTTATCAAATGAGTATATAATGTGACTCAACACACCCTCGTCTTTTAAATTCTTAATGGGTTGACTTAATAAATATCAAATGAATTGAATAATTAAGTTTGACGCACACCTTCTCCTGCAAGCTATTTAGTTGGGCTCGTATCATTGCGTAGTCCGTTATCCATTTTATATTTTTTTTATTTCGCCTCCAATAATTAATTTGGTCTCATTTCCGACAAATAAAAAATCTTGCAGAGTTAATTGCAAACATGTTAGACATTATTTGTGTCATCGACAAGTTCGATTAGTTATCTGCGTTTGGCTTGTTTTAATATATAAGAGAGTCGAGATTGAGTTATCAGAAGTCGAACCGAAATATATTAACAGATAATTTGGTTCTAATCAGAGCCAAAACCGGTTCCGACTCAAAACCGCCGGCCAGGGTTGAAAGGCCCTGAACCCGCCCGAACATATGCACGAGCCGATTTATTGAACCGTCAGTTCTTAGTTGCCCGGTTCATTAAAAAAAAATAATTACAAATATTTTTTTTTTTTATAAAGAAAGGTTGAATATTGGGTAATGAGAAAACTTGGAAACAATTATTGAAGACAATCTTTCAAGGCAGTCATACATATATCTGTAGTTGCAGCATAGAAGAAGTGTGCTTCCGTATGTGCGACTGTGAATGGTACACCAGATCACGATGGTTTTATCCATACAAACTGAAACCAGATATTTCCAGGAAAAGGGTCAACTTGTATGAAACACCAAATTGAGAAACGGCATTAAATAACACGATTTTACTATAGAACCAACAATCCCTTCTGACATTATCTTTGTGGACAAAGCATTGAAAAACAGGACATTGAATCACGCACACTAATACTGAAACATGTCAAGTATACGAACACTGCCTGAAAACTCGAGTCCAGTATACCGAAAACAAAATTGCTTATAAACAATAACCGTCCAGTCCTGTTGAAACACTAGCAAAATGAAACTGGAACTTCACCCAATCTTCTTCTACACATCTCATTTAATTTAAATAAGGAGAAAAAAAAATCAAAAGGTGAGATGAGATTCACTCTACACGTAACACGTTCATTCCCTCACCCCACTGAGTATATCCCTAGAAATCTGTACGAAACTTACAAAGTTGCATAAAAACCAGAATAATGAAACTTGCAATCACTTGGAGGTCATAAGCATGGAATTGATGACATGCATGATGAGGCGGATGTTGGAAAGATCGGGCCCACTACAAGTCGGAAGGTTACGGTGGTGACTCAGTATCTGGTAAACCTGGTCAAAGATGAGACGAACATGGACCACAATCATTGCATCTGTCGGATTTATAGCAGATAACACCTCTCTCATCCATGTCAGCTTCCGAGATGTATCTTTTGTGATGTCACAAGCCAACTGCTGGAGAAGGGAGAGGAGCACACCCTGGCTCAAAGGCAGGGGATTCACGGACAAGATCCCCGGTAGATCAACCTGGTATGAGTCCAAAAATATTATGATAACAATGAAGCTTAGGATCACAACGTTGAAACTCATTTGATGTATGAATGAGATAGATGGGTAAAATTGTAGCCATTGATCACGGCATTGTTCAGTAGATAATTAATGCATCTTGTAAAGTGTTCCAGTTACAAACAGTATCTTATACGATGACAATTACCCCATTGAGTACATGCAACTCAAATAAATTAATGGACCCAAAAGAATTTTAAAATACATGGTTCATTCTGGATCTGTTGCGGGGTGAACACAAACATACAGTTCAGGGGTTGATGAATTTTGTTGCTGATAGAGTGTTCTCACTCCACCATCACCCAAATTGCCACCCCTATCAAACTACTCTAAAGTTACTAAGCATGCAGATCCTTTTAATCTACCCATAGTCTATTATTTATCTAAGGGGGGTTTTCTGATAAAGACGATAATGGATGAACTGAACATTAAAATATTTACCCGACAGTTATAAAAGCAATTCAGAGTTTACCTGGGCACATAACCAGGCTACGATAGTAACATCAGTCATCTGCAGTGCAGCAGTAAACGCCTCCTCATACTTGCGGTCAGCTATCAGTCTAGATATTTCTGCTGTCGGGTCAGGTGGTGCCTCAAGCTTAAAACAAAAAATAAAAACATTTCAAAATTAAATGGTAATGGCAGCAGTAATGAGTTACTACTCTGGGCAGATCAAAAGAAAAGGTTAAATTAACTCAACATAAAGAAACAAGAAAGTGAAGCCAAACCTTCTCATGGAGACCACTCAGAGGACCATTGCTCAGCTGACCAATCAACGGATTTGCTGCTTTAGTGTTCGCAGCAAGAGCTAACAATTTTCTTTGACCATCAAGAATCTCACTGCTTAAAGTTTGAGTCACTGATGATGCTGAATTTATGGCATCCTGTAAAGTAAAGCCTGAATTAGTGATGCAGTTGGATATGAAAAGCACAAAAGGAATTGGATAAGCAAAGAAACTACAATTCTGCAGGACCAGATTTGCTGCCTCAGATGTCAAAGTAACAAAAGGTGGCTTAGACAGACACAAGACTTATCAGCATAACATAATCAAATAACTTGATACCCTTAGTGCAATTGCCAAAGGTGAATGTGATGCGTCAAATTGTTGATGAACTGCTGCTGAATGTTCAACCATTCCTTTTTTAAATGTAGCGTCCACCTGATCAAACATGGCCCTGCATGACATCTCGAATGCTGGGACCACAGAAACTTCCATACTTGATTTCAGTGTTTCCTGACAACAAAAATGATTTTGAACTCTATCAAACGACCATGCACCCGCAAGTTGAGCTAACATAATATACGAGAAATGTGGACGCTGGCCAGAGATCAGCTACCTCCATTTAATATTCGCAACATACTAAAATATCATGATTCCAATGGAAGTGCAGCAAAAAATGAATATCAGAAAACTTGAAACTGACTAAGAGAGGGGAAAAAATAAACAAAAAGATTGCCAAATAAAAGTATGGCCTAAAAGTAATCTGGCTTTCAAAGGTAAATTGAAAGAACTTGACATATTTCCTGCGGTATGGCCTAAGGCCCTAAAGGTAATTTTGCTCTAGTGGGGAACTTTACTACACACCGTCAGATTACATTTCAACAGTTGATTTTGAAATTTCCCAAAATAATATATTATTTTTCTAGAAGTTTTGTTGACGTCCTGAAGACGCAATGCAACGCAAAGACATTGACAGAATCAATTACTATTTTACTAGCTTGCACTGAACTCTTTCTCTTAATCTTACCTGAAGAACTTGTTTGCCAGATGTTTGAAACTGAGCTTGGATTTGCCTAGCAACTGTAGCTTCGAGTTTGGAGTTAACAGATTTCTCCAGTTGATTTACAGCTTTATCACCCACCCCTTTCTGGTCACACAAAAATCAGGTCGTTAAAATCCAGGTCCTAAGATCAAATATACGGATATACAAAGGCAAAGGGTTAACCTGGAAGCTCTCAGCAATGGAGGCAGATATTATCTTCTCTATGGTGGGTGTTATTGTTCGCGCCACAGATTGTCCCACAGCAGCCAGTTCTCTCTTCACAGTTTTCTCAATAATTGCTGGCAGGTCCTTGTTTAAGCAATTGTTCATCATATTTGTTAATTGTTGCACGCGCTCCCGTACTGCCTTGTCCTGCTTTACATTCTCTTCTTGAATACGGGCCCACAGAGCATCAGCATTAGATTTGACAGCTTTCTCCATGCTCCGTACCAATGTGGCCTCAAGTCTTTTGCCTTCTTTATTAACTGGTGCAGCAACCATTGCTGACATCTGCTTCTGCATTTCCTTTTGCATAGATACAACCTGCCAACATGAACAAAAAATAAAATAGGTTGGTACATGTTTACACTGGCGAATCTGCCTGCAATGAAGATTTTGTTCTAAAGCTAGATTCACATTGGTTGCCCTCTTTGAAGCATAAACAAGGCAGACCTTATCCTTCAGCTACTAACTGAAGGATAACATATTCTTTGAGCAGAAACGATGCAAAAACAATAGGGCCATAACTAATATGGAATTTCACAAAACAATATGTAAACAGTAACCAACACGGGAACAAAACTAAAATGTCAAACCCTCGAGCAGAGAAGTTTATAATAGATAGTAAAAAGACGAACATTTTTGGAGCAATACCACACTTCTTAAACTAGCAACTTCTAAATAAGCATATAAGTTATAAAAAAAATAAAAAAAAAAAAAAGAACAACATTTGATGAAAGGTTAAATAATCAATAAATTCTACAGACTAGTGTAGTCAACTAATAACAATTTTGAGAGCAATTTATAAAAAAAAAAAAATAACATTCTCAGCGGAAGGATGATGATTTGCACCTGGTTCAGCATCTCTTGCATGGAATATATCTGTGGGATTGCACTCCCTATTGGAGTACTTAAGCTAACACCTTGTTCAGTAGCGGAATCTGTTGAATCGATAGCACTTGGCGATGCTGAAGATGACCCCGATCCTTGACCACCCTTACCCTTTTGCCTTTTGCCTTTCCCACTTGTTGAAGGTTGTTGAGCTGTTATACGAATAGTTGAATCAGTACCCTGCTGAGAAGCATCCTTTAAAGATTCATGGAGCTCTTCTACAGTTGTAGATTGAGCAATGGTTTCAGATTCACCAGTCCCATTAAATTGCCTACCCTCCCCAACAGTATAAGTCTCATGAGATACAACACGACACTCTCGAGCCACCTCACTTCCAAGATCGGATGCTTGAGAGCAAAATGATTTTTCCTTATTTTCTTCCGTAAGATCCTGGGAAGGTTCAATATCGTTACTTTGACTATATCTCGTCTCACCCACAACTTTAACCTCCACCTCAACATTTCTGATGTCATTGCTAACCACCACATCTTGAATATTAAGCTCAGCATTACTTTTCGGGTCAATGGTGTGGCTCGCTTCAGAGACTGAATTGGCCATCAAAATTTCAGAAGGAGTCACCAAATGAGTTGGGTGTTTGAATTTAATCGGTTGGTTGACAGCTATCGACTCATCTTGGAAATGTTCATTATCACCATTCCTTGAATCACTATCTAACGAAGCAACATCTGATAAGTTCGCATGAACAACATCCATCTGACGGTCAACTGAGTACTCAACAATTTTCGGATCCGATCCATGATCATTGGTTGAAAGGCCATGACCGCTCAACTGACTTCTGAAGCCAGAAAGTGTTTTGGACAACCTAGGGCTTAAACGAATGGAAGGTGAAGCTGCAGAGGAAGCGGTATCATTAGCAACCTCAGGCTGAGGAACTAACTTTGTTTCTGTAGCTGAAGAGAACTCTTGTGGCGTGGGCGACTCAGCAGGAGCATGTATAACAGGGTACCTCACTGTAGATGCAGCATCCAATCCACTTTCATGAATTGAAAATTTGGGTGCAGAACTAGAAATGGGTAACTCAGTTGGTTTCCCGCTAGATGGCTGCTCTACAACAGGTGCAGTAGCAGCATCCAAAGAGACATTGGAGTTCGACTTCTCAAAAACAACATTCTCCAGAGGGGGTGGCAGACACTGTGACAAGTCTAAAGCATACTGCTGAATTGCCTGCGTCTGGACACAATATACCTGCACAATTTGATCACCATGAGGAAGCAACTCGCTTGTCCCAGTGAAACTGAGTATCGGCATGGTGACAGTAAACTCAGCTATATAATCCATGCGTGTTGCCTCTGGATTGGGACCATATTCCAAGTGCACGGCATATATCGCATTCCTCTTCGCATTTGCCAATAAAAGAAGACCAGCTTGTGACAATGCTACTACTTGATTGAAAAAGGCTTCTTCTGCTTGAGCCTCTGAACTCTTCAACTCCAACTTCTGAGTACAATGCCATGACTCAGCATCACCAGGAAGCAACCAGCCTTCTTCACTTGCTGATACCCATATTTTCATTTCCCGGTTAAGCGGACCCTAAACATATGACCTTGTTAGTTGGGTGCAAAACTAATAGTTAAAAATCAAAGTAGATTCAGAAAAATAAACTTTGCTTGACGGAAGTGATGTTCAACAATCCCTTCCGACATGAAATATGTTCATTCGCACTAAACTGCAACAATGTAAAAGATACAATACTGCACAAATAGAGAACTTCAGTAACATGTACCCCTGTGATGAGTATGATATGATCTGGCCGGTGAGGAGCAGCTAAAAACATGACAGAATTAACAGGCAGGCCATCATGTGGCCGAAGAACTGCAACAGGTTGAGACTTCCGATCTTCCCAAATCTTAATCTGCAATCTTAAGCATATGTCAACAGGGAGTACACAGTTTAAGGGCAGTAAATTATCAAATGCCAACTAACATAAGTACGTAACCATGCAAGTATCTAGACAACGATAGCAAACATAACTCCAACAGTATCTGTTGCAGTGTAAATTACAATGGCGTATCTAACCAACTTAATTACTTGCAGTCACCATCATATTCTTATACTCTTAAGATTGGTCAGCTTACCCCCAATCAACTCAATTTATATATGTAGAGCAACTACGTTCCATACAAGTGGGAATAGGGAGTTTTTTTCAGTTTGGTGACAAAGAGCGGTGTGGGATTATTGTTTAAACAATGGGAGCAAAAGAATATCAGCAAATCCACTTCGGCCATTTCAGTTTATCTGAAGGACTTCTTATCATTTATTTAAAGATTAAAGAAAAAGATTTTCTAACACCACAACTAGTCCTGTAAATATATAGAGCTCAACAAGGCTATAAATGGTAAAACTTAGAAAAGGAAAAAAAAAAAATGACGAACCGTGCCATCTACTGAAGCAGAGACTAGACGTGTTGTCATCCACTGGCACATAGACAAGTCAGACACTTCTCCATCATGGCTGCCAACAAATTGGACTCCATCAATCAGTTTTTCAATGGAGCAACTAAGTGGCTCCTCAGCTGAAAACTTTTCACCTTTACCAACTTTTGTGGTGTCTATCTTCAAAACACGTCTCCCAATTCCAACCACAAGAACTTCCTGTAAGAAAAATACATGGTAAGCCAAAATAAAGTCCTGGACAGAAAAGCACATTGGTAAACCAAAGAAGGCGGACATAATTTACTTGTTTATGACAATGCCAACAAACTCTAGGATGAACAGATTCCCCTTCTCCAGTAATTTGTATAGCAATATTGATCCTTCCAGTAATTTGTGGTTTGTCTTCTTTATCTGGACTTTCAGTGATCTTCCAGACGTAAACCCGACCATCCACACTTGCACTGTATCCATGAACATTATGCAATTAAGCACAAAAAATGATATGGATATAACAAAAACAATTGATGAAGTGGATACCTAGCTAGAAGGGGAACATCCTCAGCAAAGAAAGCCATGTCTGTGACCCTCTGTAAATTATTCAATGAATTAAACAACGCCATCCAATGATGGTCATTAAATAAACAATAACGACGACGACAACAACAAATAGTAAAGAAGCATATATTCCAGCCATCACATTTCTCACGGTGTTTCACATCATTGATCTCGATAAACATTGAAAAAAAAAAAAACAATTTAACTACAGCCAATTTCCAGCAAGCTTTATGGTGTGTCCTGATCAGATTTATAGTAAAGAAGCAAAACCACATGATGAAATATGTAAAAACAACCTGGCCTAAACCCTTGAGCAATGACCTCAAAGCAGTATTGATATTGAGCACCCTTATAGCACCCAACTTCAGCCCATAACATATATACGTTTTGTTTACTGCAATCTGTCTGCCCACGACTAGCCCAGGGTCAGAACCATATTTTGTAATGGGTGTAACCTCAAGTTGAGGCTGCACCTCGCCCGGAAATCTAACATCAATGTCATAAACTAATTGATCTCCAATCAAATGCCGTCCCTTGGGGAGCTTACTGCTCGGCATCCGCATCACAGGCGATTGATGCAAAATCCCTGAACCCGGCCCAGATGGCAAGTTCTGTGGTACGAATAAATCCGAGCCCGAGGAGGAAGTCGGGTGGATTTGAGGCATAGCCATCGTAGTCTGCTGCTGCGGGATTTCGAGCGTAGAAGGAGGCGCACTCAACAGCGCCATCAACCGAGCTCCATGGCTGTTAGGGTTTTGAGGATTAGGAGGGTTACAGAAATTGGCGTTGTGAGGAGCCGTAGGCGGCTGCCCCTGGGGCTGGAGAGGCGGCGTAGGATAAGACATAGACCTCTGTGGGTGGGCCGCGTTAGAGAAGTCCTGGTGGGGCTGAGGTGAATTAGAATAGGCGGGGTAGACGGGATGGTAGTGGAACGGCGCTGTCTGGGGCGGAAACGAGTACGCGCCTCCGGTCGGCGGGGGGTAGGAGGCGGATGGCGGCGGGAAAGGGGCCGAAGCCAGATTAGGGTTAGTGACAGTGTTGCTGACGTTATTGGTGACAAAATTTTGGGGATTAGGGTTAGAATTGGGGGCTGAGGTGGAGGGAGGAGGCGGTGGCAGGGGAGCGGAGGGCTTGAAGAGTTTCTGCATATCGAAGGGACCTCCGCCTGGTGGGTTTGGATTGCCAGGGGAAGCCATTTTTCTTCTTGCTTTCCGCTTAAAGTAGAGAGCCTGCGACTATTGCGATTTTAGAGAGAACAGAGAGAGAAATCTGGAGGATCTTCGGGGTTCTCTGGGACTGTGTGTGTGTGTGTGTGTGAAGATGGAGGATTGTGTGTATATTATGTATAGGGTTGAGTGATGAGTATATACGGCGAGGGTGGATCTGAGGAGGACAGCTGGGGAATGTGCACTCGGTGGAAGTGAAGAAAGACTATTGGGAGACAAAATAAGAAGAAAGATGATCCGATCCATTCACCCAAAAAAAAAAAAAAAAAAAAAAAATGTGTGTGTCTTGACTCTTGTGCAGTATTTTTAGATTAATAATTAATAAAGACACTTTAACAAAAAACTTTTTTTTTTAAAAAGACTTCAACAAAAAACTTAAATGACACAAAGTAATGTATATGTTTAATAATTGTTTATTTTAAAATAAGTGTGATGTATAAAATAATAGAATCGCGACAAATATTATTATGTAAAATTTATGCCATTTTTTGTAGTATAATTCTCTTTTTATTTTGTTTACTGTTCGAATAGAGTTGTTAAACAAAACAAGTCGATTATGAGTTCAACTTATTTAGGCTCACGCTTGACTCAACTTGTTTATACAAGTTAGATCTTGGATCGTTGAAAGAATCGAACTTGAATATCGAGAGCTCAAATTCAATACGAGTCGTTTGCACCTCTAGATGCTATATAAACCAAATCCAGAGCGTCCATTAGAAACAACTAGTTTCAACTCGTACATTTGTACGAAAAACAATATGGTAGAGGAAAAAATAATAAAAATATATAAACAATAGTAAAAAACAAAATATAATCATTCGAAAAAATATTTAAGAAAAAAATTAAATATTATTAAACACGTCTTTATATGCAACGTTTATAGTCTTCGTATTATCATAATATCCATCACCACAAATCATTATCTTCAAAGACATATAATGGTTTTATTTTTTAAATAATTATTGTATTTTGTACTATAGATCATATAAGAAATTTTAACAAAAAAATATTAAAAAATATCAGCAAAATATTATTAATAATTGTATTTGGTTGATAAATAATAGTATGCAAATATTTAAGACATTTGAACAAAAAGGCAACTTTTGGGCTATATAGAAATATATTGATTGAATGATAAAAAAAACTCAAACTAGAAGTCCATTTAATTTTTCAAGGTAGCCCAAATCAAATACAAGACGGGTCAACGATAACAAGACTATAAATTAAGAGAAATTATGAGTGATCTAAGCCATTTTTTTATGTCAGCGCCTTTCTCATTGTTCATTCTGTCTGAAACACTAATCTATAACCCGATCTTACGACAAACTCGCAGAAACTCAATACAAAACAAATGTTTTATCGGAGATTTTCTCCCGATAAAGGCTTAGAAAATGAAAAAAAAAAAACTTGAGAAATGTTGTTTTGTTGGCCAACAAAGATTGAAAAATAAATATGTGTCCCGATTTGTTAATCTAACTTCCTAAATCATAGGAAGTCGGTCAAAATCAGGCAATAATATTACAGATCTATGATGATCTGAAATATTTTTTTAAACAATTTTTTTTTCAATGATCTGTATCGTTTTTCTAATATTTTGTGAATGAGGTTCAAAGATATATCGTGTTTTGTACATAATTCGAAATTATTTAGATGTTTTTCGAAATCGTTTTTTTAAGTTGTTCAAAGTCTTTTTTATGAGTTTTTCAAAATTATTTTTTTGAAATATTGTTAGTGAATCAATTTTTTCATTGGATAAAAATTTATTGATTATTGGGTTAATTATGGATTTATTATCGGAAAACAAATGAATTAAATGTAAAATGTAAGGTGAAAACAGAAATGTAACAGTTTTATAGTAGTCACATTTGATATAAAGAAAAAAAGTGACAGCTAACGGCTATAGGCGGGAAAAATCTTGAGGATTTATTAATTAGGTAAAATTAACTGATTAGCTAAGAATTATATATACTAGTTTTAACTCGTGTATTTGAATGGAAAGCAGTATGATAGAGAAAAAAAAAGTAATAAACAATATAAACAATAGTAAAAATTATTACATAATCATTAGAGTTGTCAAAACGGTCCGGTGGGACGGTCCGGCCCGTAGCCCGCCTATTGGCGGGGTGAGGCAGGCTTGAGAAAATCATGCCCAACCAGCACCGTCCTTGGGCCGCGGATTCGGCGGCCCAAGCCCCCATATAT